TTTTTGTTTTTTTGTTTTTTCGAGACAGGGTTTCTCTGTTTTGCTTTGGAGGTTGTCCTGAAACTCTAAACTAGGCTGACCTCGGACTCACAGAGATCCACCTTCCTCTGCTGGGATTAAAGGTGTGTACCACCAATGCCCGGCTTTCTCATTAAATTTTAAATTACATTTTTGTTGTATGTGTGTTTTATGTGTGCATGCACATGTGTGGAGATCGGAGGACAACTTGCAGGAGTCAGTTCCCTACTTCATCTGAGAATCTTTTAGCCACTGTACGGACAGGATAAAAACACACACTTTTTATTTAATTGTGGCCATTTATGGCTATCTCAGGGAAATAGTTCTGGGCCACTGGATGCCCGGTGTGTTAGGTAAACACCAGTTTCAGAACTGGTGAATGGTTGCATTCATAAGTGTGTATTTTACAAGCCAACTGCCGGTAAGTGAGGGAGTAGCCTGGGCAACGCCAGAGCCAGGTGACACAAGCTCAGCCCTATGGCCAAGAAGGGGGGTGGGTGGTCTGTGGCATCTGCCTCACAGTTGCCTTCCTGCTACAGGGATTCAGTAAGGTGCAGACTGACTTTGACTGCCATTTTGTAAAAACTGGCCAGCAACTGATTGTGAATGCCAGGATTATTAAAATAGACTCCTAGAAGCAGGAAACTTGAGAGGTAGGGAGATGGCTCAGTCAGTGAGGTACCCACTCTGCAAGCCTGAGAACCCGAGTTCTTGTCATTAGCACCCACATTAAAAATGAGTGCAGAAGCATGGTTCTCCATCTAGCAGAATCGGTGAGCTTAATGAGAGACTCTGCCTCAAAGAGTTAAGAAAGAGAGCAACTGAGGGAGATATCCCATGTTGATATACCTCCACACACACTCACACAGGTGTGCACGCACACACTCACACAGATGTGCACATACACTCACACAGGTGTGCACATACACTCACACAGGTGTGCACACACTCTCACACAGGTGTGCACGCACACACACACATTTTAACCTGATATAACCAGTCTCCTATATACTTTAAAAACTAGTAACATTGTATGGTGTGTCAGAGATCACTTTTATATATGGTATGGTAGTTCATCTAATCTCAGATTTTACCAACAAATCACCCCAATGGCAGAGAAAAATAAATATTCTGAAACTGGTTTAGAGCAGTGGTTCTCAACCTTCCCAATGCTGCAACCCTTTAATACAGTTCCTCATGCTGTGGTGACTCCCAACCATAAAACTCTTTTGTTGCTACTTCATAGCTATAATTTTGCTATTGTTATAAAATTGTAATGTAAATATCTGATACGTAGGATATCTGATATGTGACCCCAAAGGGGTGGCAACCCACAGGTTGAGAACCGCTGGTTTGGACAGTGGTGTCTGGAGGAAAAGCTTTAAGTGACAAATCTAGCATTTCATCTGTAAACAGTGACATTAATTTCCATATAAATTTGTTTAGGACAGATCCAAGTGATTTTTTTTAAGATTTTATTTAGTTTTCTGTTATGTGAATTGGTGTTTTGTTTGCATGAGGGTGTTGGATCCCTTGGAACTGGAATTACAGACAGCTGTGAGCTGCCATGTGGGTGCTGGGAGTTGAACCTGGGCCCTCTGGAAGAAAATTCAGTGCTTTTAGCCGCTAAGTCATGTCTCCAGCCCCTGCATATAAATTTTTGATTTGCATTGGTGCATATAGCGCTGTAAGTACCTTGCTATTACGATAATGAAGGTTCCGGAAGCTATGCTCTGTTTAATGAGATATCTAACATGCCTGCTAGTGCAGGAGACAGGTAAACAAGGACAATAAAGCTGGGCTGTAGATGTGGCTCAGCATTTAAGAGCGCTGGCTGCTCTTCCAGAGGACCTACGTCTGATGTCCAGCACCCATGTGGCAGCTGACAAGTGTCTGTGACAATAGGCCCAAGGGATCTGATGCCCTTTTTCTGGCCTTCACAGGCGCTACCTGCATGTGGTGTTCACACATACATGCAGGCAGAATGAATAAATGATTTTAAAGATAAAAACGACAAAGCTAACAGTCAGGCATGGAGTACTACTACAGACAGTGGGTGCCAATTTCCAAGTCATCAGTCAGGATACAAATTACTTGGAGCAGAGAGGGGAGCATTTGGATTGAACTGAGGAATAAGGAATTGTTTTACTGATCCGTCAGAGCCCTCTGACGTTGGTTTTTCTGGTGTGAGCCAGCAGGTGGAGAGGACACAGTGTATTTGCTGAACCTGGCCTTCCTTTGTGAGGCTATAAACCCTCCCTTCTGCCTGCTGCATCTTCTGGGCAACCCCCTAGCCAAGAACAACCTTCCCAGCTTAATTTGTGTGTGTGTGTGACTTATTTTTCAAAAATGACTAGTGTTGTTCCATGGCAGGCTACACAGAGATATTGATGGAGAATGATGGCTATGTTTGTACTCAATAAATTGATATTCATACAGTCTATACTGTTGAAAATCAACACACCTGTATTTTTGCAATGCAGATACTTTATAGCTACGCATTGGGTTCTGTGTGATATCAGAGATGGAGGGCAGTTTTGTGCGTGTTAAACTTCATTTCTGAGTATCAAATATATTACTCTTAATCATAGTCACAAGCCTATACCATAAGTCTCAGAATTCACCCCTCCTTGCAGAACTCTGTGCCCTTCAGGCAACATTTCTTTTTTTGTTTGTTTGTTTTTTTGTTTTTTGAGACAGGGTTTCTCTGTATTGTTTTGGAGGCTGTCCTGGAACTCTCTCTGTAGTCCAGGCTGGCCTCAAGCTTACAGAGATCCTCCTGCCTCTGCCTCCCGAGTGCTGGGGTTAAAGGCGTGCGCACCAACAATCGGCTCAGGCAGTATTTCTTTACAACCAATTGAAGTTGACTGAAATGCCAACTGCACCGAGGACAGAACGCCAACCCCTCCTTGGAAAAAAACACCAAGAAAGGCTTCCCTGAGGAAGCCAAGTTTGCAGTGTCAATGAGTGGAGTCTTTTTGAAGCACAGTCAGAGAGCAAAGGGCATGTCAGAGGGTTCTGATGCTAGATCGGATGGAGGAGTGAAGAAGACAGTTCCTGGAGATTGTTAGGTTTCTGGCCATTTGGTGACAGGAGGAACAGGTGCCGTGATGTGGGCTGGTGAGATGGCTCGGCAGCTAGAGGGCCTTGCTGCTAAGCCTGGTGACCTGAGTTTGATTTGGGGACCCACATGGTAGGAGAGTACTGATTCCCTCAGTCTGTCCTCTGATCCACAAACTTGCTATGCACAAAATTTTAAACTAATAAAATGTTCAGAGAGTACATCCTGAATGTTCTCTTCTCAAAAATATGTGAAATGGTAGACATATCGCTTAGTTTGATTTATTCACAATATATATACATATATATGCATATATTAAGGCATAGTATATGCCTTACACTACATACACATTTATGAAGCCATGGAAATCAACCAACCATACATAGTTCCTTGAAGTTGGGGATCTTAGCTTATTTTTTGCAAACCTCCAGTTATGTACCATGCCCTCAGTAAATGTTTGTAAATAAGTGCATTAAATGAGAACATTATTTGTGGTACTTGTAAGGGGTCTGAATGAAGGAGGCTGTAAAGGCAGGCAAAGACCAGATCTTGAAGTACCCAAAGATCATGAAAATAAATGACCATGGGTCATGGGACACACACAACCCTCTCGGTAGCCAGCTGTAGTGACGGAATGAAGCCAAGGAAAACCCCAAGGGGGAGTGCATTTTCAAAGAAGTCTCTTTGAAGAAGCATGTTGTTTGCTTCTTTCCTTGCTGGCTGGAATGAATAGAAAGACTGGGAATCCTACAGTCTCGAATCCATGACTAGCCATCATACGTAGGTAGAGAAGGAGCATGAAGCTAGAGGGTGTGTGGCAGGAAGGAGACCATTCTAGAATGAAGGACAGAATGGGAAGGCACATTTAGGAACTGGATAGAAGATGACAAGCCACCAGAGTGACAGAGGGAGAAGGAAGGCTTCTAGAAAGAGGAAGTGGTCGGCTATCAAGGTAGAGAGCCGGCAATCGTCATTTGACTTGACGGCACAGAGCCTTGATAGGCCCCTGAAACAGGGGAGGCCGAAGTGGTATAGGAGAGGGCTGAGGGTTCTAGAAGAATGGGGAGGACAGATAGAGAGGATTTGATATAGATTGTAAAGGGAAGGCTTTTCAGAGACTCTAGGATGTGTTTGTGCACCAGTAGGCAAAATCCTACTGAAGGGAAAAGAGGAGGAAGGCCATGAGAGGAGAGTTGATGAGGCCTAGAGCAGATACGCAGAGGAAAAGGCACAGGGTTGCTCAGCGTTGAGGACATGGAGGAAGAACGGTCTGTGTGTGGTGTGTTTGCACCGGGCCATCGGGGGAAGGCCATCCATCCATCCTCCAATCAGTTGGTGTTTTTACCCATCCATGGCAGGCAAGTCATAGTTAGGGCCCTGCTTCCGAGCCTAGCTTCTATTCTCTCCTGGCATCTATCCATGGTCTCCTGAAAAAGTCAACTGCACAGTTGCCCTCAAACAACCTGCCCCAAATGCACTCTTCCAGTTAGCTGACATTGTCCGTTTCTCATCTTCCCTCAAGGCCCCATTCAAACATCCCTTCCCTTTAAATGTTTTCTGTTCCCAAGGCCAGTGAGATCCTAAGTCCTCTCAGGTGTCTAAGCCACAGTTGTAGCTCATTTACTGGCTTGAGTGGGGCGTATGGTGTGGGACAGTATGGGGTGGGTGGGCACTTTGGACCGCTCAACAATCTGCTTTTGTTTATTTTACTAATTTATCTTTTACATCATAATCCTAGTTCCTCCTTCCTCCTCTCCTCCTGCTCCCCCCAACCTGCCCCTCGGAGAGGGTTAGACTTCCCCGAGGAAGTCTTCTAACTCGGCTTCTTTAGCGGCTGCTTACGAACTGAAATGACTTTCGTATTGGACTGCTAGTCTTTGGTGTACAGAAAGTATTGGTATTTTTCTTTTTCTTTTTCTAGGTGGTTCTGGAATGGAGCAGGGATCAATACCATGTTTTGTTTGATTCCTACAGGGACAATATCGCTGGGAAATCCTTTCAGAATCGGTGAGAGTTATTTTGTAATGTCTCTGTTATTTGAGTTTAAAGAATAAGCCATGAATTCCTTCATGTTTTAAATATGGTAGATCTGTTCAGGCTGCTTATGTCAACATAAAACATGTCTCTCACCTCCAAGGGAATAAGAAATAATTTACTTTTGAGTCAAATATATGTGGCCAGGAGCATGGATTTGAATTGTGCCAAGTAATATGTTCCTATGTGGAAATGGGTTCATGAAGTTTTTATAGTTATGCAGCAAAAGAAAGTCATAAATGTGTTTTCTAAACACATTGATGGCAACTTCTGGAAAGTGGGTTACAGCAAATTGGGGGGATTTCTGCTATAGGTTCAGATGATGGCATTCCTAGCTTTTGGATTGGTGGAAGCTAGTTGCCTGTTAATACATTTTCAGTGTCTCTCACTTGATGGTGACAAGGATCTTATCTCAGACACAGAGGTGAGCACTGAATGGCTATTGAGGATATTAAAAATAGCCCAAGAAGCCGGGCGGTGGTGGTGCACGCCTTTAATCCCAGCACTCAGGAGGCAGAGGCAGGCGGATTTCTGTGAGTTTGAGACCAGCCTGGACTACCAAGCGAGTTCCAGGACAGCCTCCAAAGCCACAGAGAAACCCTGTCTCGAAAAAAAAAAAAATAGCCCAAGAGGCTGGGCGGGGGTGGCACATGCCTTTAATTCCAGCACCCGGGAGGCAGAGGCAGGTGGGTCTCTGTGAGTTCAAGGCCAGCCTAGTCTACAAGAGGTAGTTCCAGGATAGTTAGAACTGTTACACAGAGAAACCCTGTCTGGAAAAGCCAGGAAAAAAAAAAAAAAGACTTAGAATCTGCAACGTTCTAACTCTCTCAGATGGTTCTAAGCAGCCATTATCCTTGTAGATACTTTAATGCAGGAGTGACCTTGTTCTGGGAACCTCAGTTCACACAGAAATGGCTTCATATATTTCAGCATGTATACACCCACCCGAAGAAAGCATCTAGTTCATCCTATTTTGTAGGTGAAAATTCTTGATCTCCAAGAAGTAATCTTGCCTTACAGGGTTGAATAGACTGAGCTGCAAGGATTTGTTTTCTCTCTCTAGTTCTGTGAGGTACAGAAACGTTCATGTACCACAGGAAACCAGGTGGCCACTACATGTATGAGCGCTGGCCAGCCTAACAGCACTCTGTCCACCAAAGGCAGGGCCACAGGGCTGGGCTGGGCACTTTTGGTCATTATCCTGTGGCCTCTGTGTAGATTTCTTCTGTGTAGGTGAAGCTTTCTAAAATGCCGCATTTATTTGTTTGCTTGTTTGTTTACCTGCTTGTCTATTTATATGTTTATTTGTTTATTTTTGGTTTTTCAAGACAGAGTTTCTCTGTGTAACAGTCCTGGCTGTCCTGGAACTCGCTCTGTAGACCAGGCTGGCCTCGAACTCACAGAGATCCTCCTGCCTCTTCTTCCATCAGCTGGGATTAAAGGCAAACACCACCACTGCCCAGCTGGTGTCTTTGTTCTTACTCTTAGAGATTTTCTCCTTCATAAGCCAGGCCTCAGAATAGAAGTAATTTCCTCTCTCCCAATATCTTACAGACAAAATGAATCACATAGGTCCTTTTTTTTGTCTTGAAAACTATTATTTAAAGTATTTATTTTATTTTTAATTATGCGTTTGTATGTGGCTATGTGCAATTGTATGTGAGTGCCCATGGAGGCCAGAAGAAGGCGTCAGATTCTCCCAAATTGGAGTATCAGGAGGCTGTGAGCTGCCTGAAGTGGGTGGGCGCTAGGAACCAAACCCAGTTCTTCTGCCAGATTACTGCTGAACCAATTCTCCAGCCCAAACATCATATAACCACAATGCATGTCTGTGTTGGAAAAGAGTCAGGCCAGCAGTGTGTGTGTGTGTGTGTGTGTGTGTGTGTGTGTGTGTGTGTCTGTGTGTGTCTGTGTGTGTCTGTGTGTGTCTGTGTGTGTCTGTGTGTGTCTGTGTGTGTGTTTTATTTTTTGGAACTTGCAGATTTGGCCTGGCTGGCTGGCAGGTGATTGCCAAGGTTACACACCGGCAGTGACTCTCCTGTCTCTACCCCCAGCAACACACATGTATGTTGCTGCAGCTAGGCATTTACATAGGTGCTGGGACTCTGAACTCAGCTCCTCATGACTGAGCTGTCACTGCTGTAGGCCAAGCTTTCACTTTTTGCTTTGGTCTGCAGTGCTCACTAATTGTTAGTGACATTTCACAAAGATTGGCTTTCCAATTTACCCTGTTGTAGACATGGAGATATGAGATCTGTGTTAACAGCGAGTAGGGGGACAGCTTGTAATCAAAGTAAGGGAGGGACGGCCATCCTTGGGGTCTTAAAAGCAGTCGTTTTCAGACACAGGCTCCCCAAGACCTAAGTGGTTCAGTGAAACAACAAATGCTTGATCTTATTTACTTTTTTTTTTTGTTTTTTTGAGACAGGGTTCTTATTTACTTTTTAAAAGCTATACATTAGTGGATGGTATTAAAAAATAGTGTGTGGAATTGCTCACACACTAATATTTTATCCCTGCATTGTGTAAAGGGAACAAAACAGGATGTTCTGTTTACAAATGCTCCAGATGAAGCAGTGACAGTTGTTAACTTATTATGTTGATCCTTGAATATATATATATATTTTTTTTTAATACCCCAGATCAGTGTTTCTCATCCTGTGGGTCATGACCTCTTTGGGGGGGTCACATATCAGACAGCCTGCCTATCAGATAATTACATTGCAATTCATGACAGTAGCAAGGCTATGAAGTAGCAACGAAAGTAATTTTATGGCTGGGGTCACGACAATGTGAGGGACTGTGTTAAAGGGTCACAGCATCAGGAAGGTTGGGAACCACCGTCCTAGATAATCTTATATGAAGTAAAAGCTGTTGGGCATTGAGTCACAAGTTCAGCTTTCCCTCCTCTTTAGTCTATCTTCCATCCCACTCACTTCCCCGTTCCTTCGTATCCACACTCAGCCCTTGCAACGCCCCCCCTTAAAATAAAATGAAGTTTCAGAGAAAAGGGGGGGAGGAAAAAAATCAATCTCGTCAATGGAAGCTGTCGCGTGACACAGTGCGTTACACAGTAAGCCCCTTTATCCAGCCATCTTCACTTGCAGAAGTCATTGCGAGGTCTTTGGTCTGGTTTGAGGCCTCTGGTTTCTGCTACGCTATGGATGCTGGGCCCTCACTGGGACTTCTCTTGAATATCCTGCTGTTGCCCTGTGTTGTGGAAATCCTGCAGCTTTGGGTCAAGTAATCAGGCTCACACCTGTGAATCCCAGTGCTGGGGAGGCAGGGATAAGCACATGTCGCTCTGGCTGGCCTGGAACTTGCTATGTAGACCAGGCTAGCCTCAAACACAAAGAGATCTGCCTGCCTCTACCTCCTGAGTGCTTGGATTAAAGATGTGCACCACTACACCCAGCTCTCTAAAGAGTTTTTTTTTTAATTGTTAAAACAGGTTTCACAAAACAAACAAACAAACAAACAAAAAAAAAAAAACAGGTCTCACTATGTAGCTCAGTCTGGTCTTGTGTTCAGAATCCCGCCTCAGCCTCCCAAGTGACGGGATTGCAGCCTAAAATCCTTGTGACTGATGTTCCTACTATTTTTAGGTTGCAGTAAGTAATATAATGTTTATTGAAAGCTTCCATCATTCTGACAGTTTCTGTACAGTTTTTACTAGTGTCCTTTGCTCTGAATGGAAAGGTAATCCCAGGTTCCATGTTAGTATGAAGCAGATATGCAGACCATCTGCTGCTGCCGAGTTCCAGGCAGCCATTCATGGGTAAAACATGGGTGCCACATTGTTTGTAAATCCTATTTTAGTTCTGTGGTTTTGTCTCCCCACCTCTCACTGTAGAACTAAGGTTCCGCTCAATGACTTTAAAAGTTACTTTAAATAGTGGTTTGAATACAATTTGTATTACATTTTTGTCAACATCACTTCTGTTCTGAGTCCAGGCTTCCTTTTTATCTGGAAACCAAGATCGTGGTCGAGTGGTTAGAACTAAGGGCTCAGACTCATCACTACCATGCCTCATAGAAAGACAACTGACTCATGACCATGAGCTGGTCATATGATCTCTTTCAGGTCTTTTAATTTAATCCATGAGTTGAGCTGGGCATATGATAACAGGCTCATTTGAGGAGCCAATGTGTAAGTCACTTACTAACTTGAGTTGTTTTCCTCGGCTGAATATTTGCCTAGATCTCCTGGTTATATTAAAACCCCCTAAGAATGAAAATTTTAGAGTATACATCCAGTCTTCCATCCCCTCCCATCTTTTCTTTGAAAAATATATAGAATCAAGCAGGTTTCTTATTTTTATTTTCATTGTTAGGGTACAAATGCTTGTTACACAAGCCTGATGACTTGAGTTTAGCTGCTCAGAATCCATGTAAGAGTTATATACAGTATGATTCTGAATCCCATTACACCACTAAGAGGAAATGGGAGGCCAGAGACAGGAGAATCAGACTTGTGGCCCAGCTAACCTGGGGTACACAGTCACAGCGAGTCAGATCTTGTCTTAAACTCAGTGAGTCAGTGAAAACTGACTCCTCTGTCCTCCACACATGGTCATGTACCCTCACTGCTACAGAGAAACAAGCATCCATGCAATACACACACACACACACACACACACACACACACACACACACACACACACACACACACAAATAATTTTAGTCTGAATAAAGACCATTTGGGAGGTTGGGAGTTACAGTGACTTTGAATAATTTGCATGTGGGTATACTGAGTCAGATCTTCATGGGAAACACAAATATGTGCTGACGACACTGTAGTTATTGGGGCTGGAGAGGTGGCTCAGTGGTTAAGAGCACTGATTGCTCTTCCAGAAGCACCCATATGTCAACACACAATTGTCTATAACTTCAGTTTCACAGGATCCAACACTCTTTTCTGACCTCTGCAGGCACCAGGCACATAGAGGGTGCATAGACAAACATACAGGCAAAACACACATACACAAAATAATATTAATAGTAATAATTTTAATCAAATTATTTATCTAACCCACTCATACAAGGCACTATTCTGGACCTAGGCAAATAATGGTGAACATTACTCAATTAATTAATGTTCATTAATCTTACATGTAGGACTGGCAGTGTAGTAGGAGTGTTAGTATTCAGGCATCTGTACTGGCCTGCCCTTGGGGTCCTGATAGGGTACGCCCTCAGCTGCAGCCACTAAGAGCAATCTGTGCACATTCGCTACGTTCCCTTTTAAAAGGGCCCTGCCCACCTCCATACCACCCCCAGTTTCTCTTTCTCCCTCTTCCCCCTCTCTCTCTTCCTCTTCCTCTCTCCCTCTCTTTTCTCTCTCCCACTGCCCTTGTCCCTAGAGGCTGGTCTCCCCCCTCCCCTTCCTCCTTTTTATTATCCCTTTGTCTAATAAAAACTCCTCCCCTCCACTTGAACTCTGTCACATGGCATCTTTCTCTCTTGAGCCACTTTTTAAAAATTGCAATGGGGGAAGCTACAGAAGCCAGCTGTTCTCCAAGTGTAGCCTCCAAGATTGGCAGTGTCAGCATTAGCTGAGAACTTCTTAGAAGAGAGCATTCTGAGGTCCCACTTCAGACCCATACATTTAGAAACTCCGTTTAAAAGTCCTCCATGTAGCTGCCAGCTACAGTTTGAGAACCATTGAAAGGCATGTCACAGAGAAAATAAGCAGACAAAGGGGTTAGACAGTATGTCTAGTAGGACTATTTTTACGTAGATACCAGAAACAGCCTTATTGAGAAGTTCGTTTTGGGGATGGATGTACCCCAGTGGTAGAGTGTTTTCTTACTATGCATGAGGCCTATGGTTCCAGATGCAGCGCTGGGGGAAGGGGCTGAGAATATGACACAGCAGTAAAAAGAGTAAAGTGTGGAGATGGGCCGGCTTGGAAATGGAGGAAGAAACACACCAGGAAAGGCACTCTGTGTGAGGCACACATCTGGCTTTCCCAAGAAACTAGGAGACCAAGCAAGCGGAAGAACCTAACTAGAAATGAGATCAGAGAGAGTTACAAGGGTCCCACGGCTTGTCAGGAAAACGAGGATGCATGCGTCAGCTGGGGGTGAAGTGTCACCTCCTGCCCAGTTCATCCAGGCCTCACAGTCCCTCGTTCCTGGGGCATCCTGCTCGCTTCCCTCACCACAGAGTTAAGAGCTTGCAGGATGCTGTCACCTTCTTTAGTCCTGCCTTCAGCCACTTCCTCCTCCCATCCTCTTTTCCTCTCCAGTCCTTTCTCTTGGAAAAGGACTCACAGTATGACTCTCCCACACAGAGACTTAATGAACTAGGGATGCTTGGTCTACCCTAGGCTCATTTTTTTTTTTTTTTTTGGCTAGCTCTTTTAGCTAAATTAACCTGCTTCTCTTTATCTACCTTTTGCCTCGGGCTTTTTTACTCTTCTTCCCTTCTATATATCTTACTTTCACTGCATCTGTCTGGCTAGCTTCTTGCCCCGGGGTGTGTCCCTGTTCTCTCCTTCTCTTGAGCCTAGATTTCCTAGATTTCTGTTCCTTTTTATTCTCTCTCATGCCAGTTGTGTCTATCCTGTCTCCTTCCTCGCTATTGGCCATTTAGCTCTTTATTAGACCAATCAGGTGCTTTAGGCAGGGAAGGTGAAACGAATACAACACATCTTCATATAATTAACAAATGTAGCACGAAAGTAACACACCCTTACACAGCTAAAGTAATATTTTGCAGCATAAACAAATGTAACACATCTTTGCCTAGTTAAAAATCTCTGTGTTACCTTGGCTGTCCTGGAACTTGCCTAATCCTGTACCCAGGCTGTAAGAAGGAAAAGGGACAGTGTATTTCCTCGTTGCTGTGGCCAAACACCTTACAAAAGGCAACTTGAGGAAGGGGGGGGGGGCTTGCCTTGGCTCTTGATCCATCGTGGGGGAGGCATGCTGCATGGACGGCTTCACGGATGGCAGTTGCCAGAGGCAGGTGGAAGAAGAAGCAGAGGAGGAAGCAGTGCTCTGCTGGTTTCCCCTTCCCCTTCTATTGTCTGACACCCCAGCCACTGGGGATGAGCAGCTGCCACAGCCAGGGTGCCCTCCCCCAGTTAATCCTCCCCTGAAGGCCTTCATAGGCGCACTCAAGCCTGGGGCTCCCTCATGCCCTGGATGCCTCTTAATCTAATCAAGTTGATAATCAAAATTAACTATTGCAAAGGGCAAGCTTTGGAAGTAGACCATACAACAAAGAAAAATTGTCTGTTAATTTGGAAAATGGAAAGAACCATCTAGAATGTCAACACCCAAATAGATATGAAGCCTGTATCAGGTCATAGTTGTGGGTTTTTTTTTTTTCTTTTTGGTAAGTCATTGAGCTAAATAAGAACATTCTTTTGGTGTGCCAAAACCTGAACAGAAACACTAAGGCTGAGCCGGACTTTTCTTTCTTTTCTTTTCTTTTTTTTTTTTTTTTTTTTTTGTTTTTGGAGACAGGTTTCTCTGTGACTTTGGAGGCTGTCCTGGAACTCGCCCTTGTAGCCCAGGCTAGCCTCTGCCTCCCAAGTGCTGAGATTAAAGGTGTGCGCCACCACCCAGCTAGGGCTGGACTTTTGAGGAGGATTAAAACACAAGACCATGTTGGGGAAAAGCACGTCCTTGTGCCCCACCTACACTGTTGGCCTTTTTCCTAGACTGGCCCCTCTGTGCTGGGTGCTACACTACCTCAGAAGCTTCAGGATGCACATCGAGGAGGCCTCCTGCCTTCTTGGTGGATGCCTTCACAGGAAGGCCATTGTAACTCATAGGAGAGACAGCAGGCTAGTCATTTGCTGTATTAGAAAGATGTCAAGGGCTCTGGACCAAAGAAAAGAAGAGGGCTGGACTTCAGCATCCTTCTGAGACAGAAGTCGGAGGTGGTGTTGGGCCAGATCTCCCTCTGGACTCCGACAACATCACTCCCTGTGGTTACCGCTCTAGACTGGGCCACACTTGATCCTTCTGATCCTGCATTTGTGGAATATGTGAGTGATAGATTACTTAATCTAAACTGAGTTCTAAGACTACGCCCTCTACTCCCAGATAATCATTATTCTCACTCTGCTTGACATTTTCTGGTTGTAGCAAAAACAGACCATAGCACAGAAATTAGCATATTAATTGTTTTTAAAGTGTATGGTTGAGAGTAGCACCAAATGCATTCATGATGTCGGGTGACTGTCATCCCCATCTAGTTCCAGAGCTTTCATCACACAGACAGAAACCCCATGTCCGATGATCAGGCTCTCCCTGCTCCACTGGAACTCTAAGGCCTCTAAGGAGCTACTTTTGTCTCTTGATTCTCCTCCATTAACCTTTCACTTGCTGTTGTTGCTGTTGTGTGTGTATATGATGGTGGGGGTGGCATGCGTGGTGCATGTGTGGAAGTCAGGGGATAACTCCAGGAGTTAGTTTCTCTTTACCTCCCAGGGATCACACTCGGGTCTTGGGTTTGTGCAGCAAGCACTTTGAATTCACTGAGCCACCTAGATAGTCCCTCAAGTAATCTTTAAAAAGGAAAGATATCAACCTCTTTACAGGGTAGTTGTGAGGTTCAAATGATAGAAATTTCATGAAGTTTCTAACATAATGCAATTCATAGAGATGGCATTTGACAGACACCACTCCCCCAACAGTGCCCCCAGGAAAATACACCGTTCTGTTAAATGTGTATGCCACAGTTCCATGGCATTTTCTTTTATTTTCTCTGGTAACGTCTAAATTTAAACTCATCATTGTTTGTTTTGATTTTGTTTTGCTTTTTCTAGCCAGAGTTTCTCTATGTGGGCATGGCTATACTGGATCTTGTTTTGTAAACCATACTGGTCTTGAATTTAGAGATCCACCAGCCTCTGCCTCCCAAGTGTTGGGATTAAAGGGGTGTGGCACCACCACTTGGTTTAAGTCTAAATTCTTTTTTTTGTTTGTTTGTTTGTTTGTTTTGGTTTGCGAGACAAGGTTTCTCTGTGGCTTTTGGAGCCTGTCCTGGAACTAGCTCTTGTAGACCAGGCTGGCCTCTAACTCACAGAGATCCGCCTGCCTCTGCCTCCTCAGTGCTGGGATTAAAGGCATGCACCACCACCACTTGGCTTAAGTCTAGATTCTTAAATATAAGTTTTGCTATAATCTTTTCCTGGAAAACCCACAATTAAGCTGGAGAACTTGGGTTTGCCCTAGGCTTTGTCTGCCCATGCCAATCGATGTGGTTTACACCTGGGTGAATGGCACAGACCTTGAACTGCTAAAGGAGCTACAACAGGTCCGCGAGCAAATGGAGGATGAGCAGAAAGCTATGAGGTAAATCCATTTAAAAGAAGCCCAGGTGTGGTTATAAGTCAGAAACAGGCAAAGTGCTCGCTCGCTCAGAGCTGCCTCTCTGTTTCCGCTCTCTCATCTGGAAGATTTGCTAAGAGTTCCCCAGTCATTTCCTTATAAATGTCACCAGTGGGCTCCAGTTGCAGTCATTTGTACCACACACAGCTTCTCTGTCGTGGGGTATAAGACTGCTTAAAACGACTGGCAGCCACCGCATTCCATGTTTTGTAAGGAAAATAACAAGACGGTATTTTAAGCGAATTTTATTGGTTGCGTTTGAGGTTCAGGATCACTGATAGCATTTCATTAGAACATGGTTTGTTTACACTTTTAATGCCATAAGCATCGCAATACTTCCCATTGGCAAGTTAGTACAGGTAAAGTTACCAGGAAAGGCAACATTGTAAACTCTCCCTTGTTCCCATTTAGGGCTATCACTGGCTGATGCATATGTAACAAGCTGTGTTTGCTTTTATTAGGGAAATCCTTGGGAAGAACACAACAGAACCAACAAAGAAGAGGTAAGCGGTTTGGTTTCTTCTCAGGAATGAAGCTTGAAGGACTGAACTGAAGTACCAAGGTCACCATTGTGGGCACATACTGTTGGTTTCATGCCTAAGCTACTGCTGGTATTCAGCCCCACCCCTGCTATTTTTCACACCTCAATTAAGTGCATCCACCAGACAGAATTCGCAGTGCTAAATAGCATGACTGACTGAGCGCTCAGGTGTTTCTGTTCTAGCCAATCAGATCCTGCTTGTTTTTGGCAAGCTTGGAGTACTCATTTATCTGTCTTGATGCATTGTTCTCTTGGCCTCTTCAAACTAATTATACCCTGTGTTTTGACCATAAAATTTATGCCCATCATTTATTTGTCCATTTATAATCTCTCCTTATCTTTGGAAGCTGTCAGGTTGTATATACTTAAGGACCAAGGACCAGGAAGGGTTAGCCCAGTGACAAGAACCAGATACATCTGTCTTGCTAGGTATAGTGGTTTCAGTCATGCTTGGCTCTGATGAGCCTTTAAAGCAGCTCCCACTGACAAACAGAAGCTTCGTAACTGCTTCTTTCCCACTTGGAGTAAAGGGGTTGTTTGTAGAGATGACCCTGACCCTCATTCCTCAACAGTCTTTTCGATTGGTTTTATTTTTTTTAAAGACCTTTCATATAGCCCAGGCTAGCCTTCACACTCACTGCATAGCTGAGAATAACCTTGATCTCCTGCCTTTTCCTAGAAGTGCTGGGATCATAGGAGTGTATGACTATACTCAGCTCACAACTGTCATAGTTTATGGCCTAAGATGTCCTGCTTTTTAATTACTATATCAATGCATTATTTTCATGCTTCATACCTCTCAGTATATTGGACAGGCATGTTGTAAGCGTATGTATATGTGTTATAAGTATATAGTGTGTGTATAGCACCATGTTGTGTCCCTAAAGAACTATGAGGCCAGATATGTTTGAGAGGGACAGACTTCAGTGCTTTGATTAATGCTAAGTCACCATTTTTGAGGGGCACTAATTGATCAAACAGGGTAACAATTGCTTTCTTTTGCATTTCTTTGATTATCAGCTAAGATGGTTGAACAGTTTTACACATCATTGTACTAGTTGTGGCTGCCCCTTGTGAGCTTTCTAGCTGTGTTATGTGTCTTATTTTTTTTATTCTGGTAACTTTCAAAGGGATTTCTTTTATTCACATACAAAATCTCGTACATGTTCACATTAGAACCATGCTATGCTTGCAGTTTTTGTATCAGTGTGATGTCCAATATAGTTCATATTGTTCTAATAGGGGGTGGGTAAATTGTATTCAGTAACACAATACTGTTAGCTAAAATCTTTCCAAATATGCTAACAAGGTGCTTCAGTGGACTTACACACACACACACACACACACACACACACACACACACACACACACACATATACACATATACATATATATATATATAAATGGTAGCACTGAAGTACTTAATTTCTTAGGAATTTTTATACTAGCAAATTTTGGTAGCACACTTACTTAATCCCCTCCCCCCAAACATGTTTTCCTGGACCTAGAATTCATAATTGATCCTCTTACCTCATCCTTTAAGTATGACTGCTACTCTTATAGTTAATAGAAGTTTGAAAACTGTATCCTTAAAATGTGTCTTGTTATTTTTATTCCATAGTTACTAACAAAAATGTTAGCATTCTAGAGATTAACTTACTAAGCCATGACAATTCTATCTAGGTTATAGGGCTTTTAACCCCTCCCCTTTAGCAATGGCCGCAGCTGTCCTTGGTAACGTTGTCTGTCTCTGCAGTGAGAAGCAGCTGGAGTGTCTGCTGACGCACTGCATCAAGGTGCCCATGCTTGTTCTGGACCCACCCTTGCCAGCCAACAGCACCCTGAAAGACCTGCCGTCTCTTTATCCGTCTTTTCATGCTGCCAGCGACATGTTCAACGTTGCAAAGCCAAAAAATCCTTCTACCAATGTGTCAGTTGTTGTTTTTGGCAGCACTAAGGATGGTAAGATTTTTTCCCTATGGTTTTTTTATTATTCTGTGTGTATGAGTGTTTTGTCTGCATGTATGTCTGTATCCCTTGTTTGTGTCTGGAGGCCAGAAGAACATGTTGGATCCCTGGGAACTGGAGCTCTAGAGAGTTGTGAACTGCCATGTGGGTCCTAGGAATTGAACCCAGGCCCTCTGGTAGAGCAAGTGTTCTTGACTGCTGAGTTATCTCTCCAGCCCCTGTGTGTATTTTATTATTATTTTTATTGGAGGTTTCATTGTGGGAACAGGGTCTCTGTTATGTAGCCCTGACTGTCCTGGAACTCACTCTGCAGACCAGGCTGGCCTCAAACTCACAGAGAACCGCCTGTCTCTGCCTCCTGAGTGATGAAATCAAAAGTGTGCTACCATACCCAGCTGCCTGGGTGTGTATTTAAACCATGGTGTCACTGATATTCAGAATAACAGAATTCTGAATGCAACAAGTGTTTTTTTTTTTTTTAAAGAACTGCCCTATAAGCTACAAATGTCCTGAGAAAAGCCCAAGAGTCATTATTGTATTTCATTGTAAGCCATCTCATCTCGGGAAAGGGCTACAGACACATCATAGCCATGTTCTGAATACTCTAGAGGACCTTCAGTCTAGCACACAAAGGTGCCTCCTTCTCCCGCTCAAAGTCAGGCTGTTTGCTGTTATTGTTTTATTTTTACCATATAACTCAATGAGATTGTGTTCTGCAGTTTGGACAGGACATACCAGAGCATTCAGAAATGGCTTGTATTCCTTTTACTTCACACAGTGAAATGCAAAATCCCAAGGAGATGATCAGGGTGTGAAGGCTAGGCCTTCATGAGTAGAGTTAGCATCCTTTTATAATACCCCAGACTCCAGCCTTCCCCTGGGAACTTGACTCTGACTGCACTTGGGAAGAGAGACCCCGAGAACCAACTGTGCTGGACCCTGCTCTTACCCTTGCAGCCTCCAGGATTGGTTGTTTTTTTTTTTTTTTTTTTGGTTTTTCGAGACAGGGTTTCTCTGTATTGTTTTGGAAGCTGTCCTGGAACTTGCTCTGTAGTCCAGGCTGGTCTCGAACTCACAGAGATCCGCCTGCCTCTGCCTCCCGAGTGCTGGGATTAAAGGCGTGTGCCACCAACGCCCGGTGCCTGCCCCACTTTTTGACAACATCTTTCCTTCTTATTTCTTTCCTCAGGAACTAATAACTAACCCCATCCTGCCACTTTTATTTTGCCAACAGTTCTTAGGTTCTTCCCCCATCCATTCCCCTCACAGACTCCTGTAACAGACTCCAAGCTGCTCTGTCTGTCTGAAGCTCTCTACCTTGCCCGACTGGCAAATAACTCTGAACATCCTGATCTCATTGGCTCACTGCCTCTTAGAAGACTGTGCTTCAGCAATGCATATTTGCTTTTCATACGGGTGTCAGCTCCTTCCTGCTTCTGGTATTGCAAGTTCTGTTGGGCTGTGTCGTTAGCTCTCTTCCCTGTACATCTTCATCATACTTCAGCTGCCAGCGGCCAGTGCTCAGGCGGTGGGCCATGGCTAATGCCACGCCTCTTCTTCCCCGCCCATCTCTTCCATGGGAGGACTAGGGCATTCGGAATGCTTTTACCTATGCTTTCCTAGCTCCATGGTATTTGTAATACAACTCACAATTTCTTTTCAGTTGCGTAGGAATTTATGGTGTCCTGTGTAACTTACTGAGACAAAACTGCCACATGCCAGTTCATATTATGAAAAAATGTCATATGCTGCTCCCAGTCATGACATTATTTTTAGGTGGAAGGAAATTGTGAGCTTTCTGAATACAAGCCTCTTCCCTTCAGGTGAGAGGTGTGGTTAGCCGTCACCCAGCCCAGCCCTGCTGCCTGGTCCCAGGACTCCAAAGCAAAGTGGCTTTTCTAGTCGTGCTTACACCCTTTGATTTACAAGAAATGATACCTTTGTAGGGCGGTTCACGTTACATCCGTCCCAACTAAAGTGGCCTTTAGAAAAGACTGCAAATGGCTTTGTTGAGTTTTTGTACACAGGTGTGTTTCCAGTGGACACAGAGGGCATGGAATCCCTTCCCCACCTGTTCCTTTCACCCTGGAGCTCTTCGTTCTAGGTTGTTCCCAGGGCACTTTTGCAGTGGGTTCATACGCTGTGGGTGCGGGCTGGGGGTAGAGTCCTTGTCTAGCATGCACCCTGTGTTACATGAGCCTCAGCATTAAGAAGGAATTGAAACGTGTCAGCTGGACACAACCCGTGTACTTCTCATAGCCTGGGGAAAAGCAGGCCTAACCACTTAACAGCATGCCATACTGCCCTCGGTGATAGAGGGACAGGTGGCCAAACACTCTGTCCCGAATTGGCAAATGATTAACAAATAAGTAGAGAAGAATGCTATAGAGGAAAACTGAATGGGGGTGTGGAAAAGGAAACGGCAGTCAGGAGCGGGGGTGAACCTTCTCAACTGCGTGGTGGGGATTTTCTTAATGGGATGTGAAGGCGGCCAGGGTGCCAGTAGCGTGAGTGAAGAAAGAGCTATCAGGAGTTAGAACAGCTAGTGCAGAGACCTGCATCGGGGCCGGAGGCCAGAGTGAGTGGAAGAGAGAGAGCGAGAGAAAGAAGGCGAATTGGGAGGGAGGAGATCATGGCAGCCACATCGAACCCAGAATCTTTAACCCACAGTGCGATGGGGAAATCGTTGGAGTGACTGTCTGACTTGAACTCCACACAAGTCAGTTTGTGTGTGTAGCGAGAGTGCAAGCATTGTCACAATCCAGGCAAGAGTGAGCGTGGCTCAGAGCAGAAGTGGGTGGGCTCTGCCTGTTGGGAGGTCAGCCCGCCTTGGTTTCTGGGTGAATACCTTTTGTGATAGTTGGTTGTAGAATTGGCTTGTGGTGCCCGGTTACAGATTTTGCCTGTTTGTAGAAGATGGTATTTTGCTATATTTACTGTACTGCTCTGAGTGACCCAAAGCTTGGGGAATCCTTAGCCTGTTAACTAGGATAGCACATCGCTGTCAGCTTTGTCTGCGTTTCACAAACATGCTTCCTGTTTCTTTCAAAACTGTGGTGTGGGGTTCATTGTGGAGCCATGTGGCAGACCTCTCAAGTGTTCTTTGGGTTGGCTCTGGCTGTGTAATCCACCCTTCGGTCAGAATGGGTTAGGTCATAATCTCCCCCATTGAGTATTCGGTCTCTGTCTCATAAGCATGAAGGTGGCGTGAGAATGTCATGAAGACTTTGATGAGATTGCATGCATGTTATATCACATATCAGACCTGTTAGAATTATCCAGTTTACCAGCATATCGCCCTCTATATTTGTGGAGACAGGGTTACCTGATAAATCAATGCATTTGGAAGACACGGTCACTTCTAATGCCCATGCTGCTGCTTTTAGGGGTGGACTCGTTATTGCTGGTGGTCGTGGTATTTTGAGACAGGATGCTATGTATATCCCAGACTGGCCTGGCATTCACTCTGCACAGACTAGGCTTGAATCATGGCTGTCCTCTTGCATCAACCTCGTGAGCGTTGAGATTGTAAGAGTGAACTACCATTCCTGTCTTTTTTAAGATTGTTTCAAGACTTCCTTTTCTGCAGCCTTCCCAGGGCCTTGTGCACCCTAAGCACCCTAAGCAGGTACTGCCCCACTCAGCCCCCGCCCCCAGCCCCAGCCCCAACTCCAGCCCCCACCCTATTGGTATGGGCTTGAGACTCTTGCCTGGGGTTGCTGTCCAACTTCCCAGACTGTAATTTGTAGGGCCTGCCTCATTTGTCCCTCTGGAGGAAGTTCCGACTCGGAGCCCTATGTTGTCCTCTTTTTAAATTGTTTCTGCCTCCAGGACTGTCGGAATCAGCAAATGCAACCCCAGCCCAGCAGCAGTTAGGCTGTAAGAGCCGCAGCCTGAGGGAATTCCTTCCAGCACTGACTCTTTTGACAGCTACAAAGGGAACTTATCTCAATCTCTGTCCCTCTAAACAACTCGAGATTCAAGGTTGAGGTGGCAATCTGAGTTCAGAGAGGCTGAATAGCAAGCAGCTCTCCTAGATGCTCTCCCCCAGAAGCCCTGCTTGTCTCCTTATAAACCCTGGCCACCTGGCTCCTCCCTACCACTTCCTGTCAGCTAGTTGCTGACCCAACCTCCTGATTGCAGGTGAATTTTATCTGATCAAACACATCTTTGCATCATTAAACAAATGCTCCAGAGCATAAACAAAAGTAACATAGCTTAAAAATAATACTGCACAACACCCACAGCCTGAGAGTTTCCTGTTGTCTTCCATTCTGGATGTCTGCTTGTCCTTGGATATGTCACTTGTCCCCTTTGCGTCATACTTCCCTTGCAGTGTGTGCCCTACACCCCCAACTCCGAGAAAGTTGCCTCTTCAGGGAGTCGTGGCTGTAAGGCAGCCGCTTGCTTTCATCCCTCCCTCCCCTCGTCTGGCTTCTCTTATTTGTAGTGGTGACATTCCGAGAGGTTGTAACATAGTCAGACAATGTGGAGTTTTTGGTTTTCATCCAGGTTTGCTGTTACGTCTGTGAGTTTCCTGTGTCCCATTATCTTTTCCTTCATCCCAGCTTAGGTTTGTTCTCACTAAGCACTCCATGCTTCTGCTGCCTGATAAATCTCTTGGCAGTGCAGAGTTTAATGTTCAGTTATACACTGCTTTACAGCATGCTTTCTTTGTTGAATCTCTGCTTTTGTCTGAAGTCATGCATTATGCTATTTTAATAACTCCTGTGCTCTGTATAGTGTTATGCCAGAGAGTTCGATAAGTATTTGTTAAACGTGTTTGTTTCTTGCATTGTTTCTTGTAGTTGAAGAGGCCCATACTGGACTATTTAAGGGAAGCAGCAAGCAGACAGTTTGGAGAGCCTACCTGGTATGTCATTTTAAATCTAATTGTGCTTTTCCATTAGACTAGAATAAAAGGATGAGCAATAAAGGTGTTTTCCTTAGGTCTTGCTGTGTAGTCCCATCTGGCCTTGAACTTGCGGTCTTTCTGCCTGCCCCTCGGGAATGCTGGGATTGCAGTTCTGTGCCGTCACGCTTTACTCCCTAAGAGCCTTTTGTCTGACAGTAGCTTCCTGGTACTAGTGAGTGTCCTGCTGTGGCGGTGTTTAGTGTGAAACCCAGAGAGCACAGTGGAAGGACACCAGCTTTCCCGCTTCAAGTTTTCACCAGCTTCGAGACATGGAAAACGAGCTGAGTCTTTTCCTTTTATTTCAGACAACAGACAAAGAAGTCCCTGGCTTAGTGCTGATGCAGGACTTGGTTTTCCTGAGTGGATTCCCACCGACATTCAAGGAGACGAGTCAGCTGAAGACAAAGCTGCCGGAGACTCTTTCTTCTAAAATAAAACTGGTAAGAACAGAAAAGGGGCCACGGGCGTGGCTCATCTCATTCCATGTATGGCCCTTCTCTCCTGACCCAGTTTGCATTCTGTCCAAAGTATAGCCAAGAGTTGCAGGCAAAGGTGGACTCTGCCTTGTCACAGTCCACTGTCAGAAAGGTAAATCTGCGCAGAAGACCCTCATTCCTTACTCTTTTTCGAGACTAGCTCTTAGTCTATGGCCAGATTGGTTTTGAAATTGTAGCAGTCCTCCTGCCTCAGCCTCTGAAGTGCTAGTATGACAGATTTGCACCTCCAAACCCAGCTCTGAAACTGCTACTTTTGTAATGTAGTTTTCTAGTTGACCGTCCTTACGCCATGCTGTTGTCAAATATCCCAGATGGAAAAGTCGGGTGTGTCTCTCTGTCTCTCTGTCTCTGTTTCTCTCTCCCCTCTCCCTCTCTGTGTCTCTCTCTCCCCTCTCCCTCTCTGTGTCTCTCTGTCTCTCTCTCTCTCTCTGTGTCTCTCCCGCTCTCCCTCCCTCTCTCTCCCTCCCTCTCTCTCTCTCTCTCTCTCTCTCTCTCTCTCTCTCTCTCTCTCTCTCTCTCTCTCTCTCTCTCTCTCTCTCTCTCTCTCTCTCTCTCTCTCTCTCTCTCTCTCCCTCTGTCTCTCTCTCTGTCTCTCTCTCCCCCTCTCCCTCTGTCTCTCTCTGGGCAGCTAGAGTAGAGTCCTTGCCTCCAGGACTGCAGGGATCTGTTTCTTGAATTTGTGAAATTCTGCCCTAGGTTTGGCTTGCTTGACTCCCACTTCCTCTTATTTTGCCAGTTAATAGTTTGTGGGGGTGGAGAAGGTGGGGGTCCTGGGAAGGGAGTAAGCGAGTTGTTACTGTGTTCCTGTTTAGTCACCCCGTCCCCAGGTTCCTTTTTCCTCTTTCACCCGGCCGTACGGTCTTCGTGCTTTGCGGTATATTTATGAGACGATGACTCGGGTGACCTGAAGTCGCTCTGAAGTAGACCCCACGTTGCCTCCTTCCCCTGAGGTGCTTTCAGTACTGATCTGAGCAGTTAAAACCATAGATTAGCTTTTGTTTCAGCCACAGTTTATTCTTGACTTTTTAGTCGCTAGTCCCAGAATTACAGTCACGTGCACGCTTGTGCCTTCCACTATGGGCTCATCTCCCTTATATGGGAAGAGTGACTTTTCTGATTCTATTTCTGTAAGTCCACATTAATCAAAATGAAAAAAAATGCAATTCATTCTGCTTCTCCAGCTTCTGCTTTTGTGCGACTATTTCCCATCCTGCTCTGCTGCAGCTGCTCGTCAGCTGACTGCATTTGATGTGCCTACTGGTGATAGGCGGCTATTGACAAAGATGACGACCCCAGACATGGCAGGCCTCTCTCTGCAGACTGCTCTTGGGTGGCCTGGTGTGCGGTGACTGGAGGTGGAGGGAAAGGGTGGTGGTGACCTGAGTGGCCAGAGACTGACAACCAGGAAGAGAAGATGTGGCAGCGTTTCAGTTCAGTTCTTCAGAGCTGTGTGTATTGAGGGGCATAATGTGTGTTCCTGTGTGTGTGTGTGTGTGTGTGTGTGTGTGTGTGAGAGAGGGGGGGGGAGACAGACACAGAGACACAGAGAGAGAGAGACAGAGAGTGTGTGTGTACAGGTTTGGTTTGCATGTGTGAATGTGTGTGTTCATGACTGTGTGTATGAGTGTGTATTGATTGCACAGGTGTGTGTGAGTGTGTGTATGTGTAATGGTGGGTACATGTGTATCTGTGTACGGGGTGTACATATGTGTGTTGAGTGTGTATGTGAGTGGGTGTGGATATATACGCATGGGTGTGGAGGGGGAGGGTGTGTGTGTGTGTGCACACAGGTGTGTGTGTGTACAGATGTGGCTGTCTATGTAGAGGTGTGTGCATATATGTTTGTGTACAGGGGTGTACATATATGTGAATATGCGTATGTGCATGTGTGTGAATGTGTACGTGTGCACGAGTGTGTGTGTGTGTGTGTGTGTGTGTGTGTGTGTGTGTGTGTGTGTGTGTGTGTGTGCACATGGAGGCCAGAGGTTGGTCAGGTGTCCTCCTTGCTTACTCTCCCTGATTTTTTTTTTTTTTTTTTTTGGTTTTTCGAGACAGGGTTTCTTTGTGGCTTTGGAGGCTGTCCTGGAACTCGCTTGGTAGTCCATGCTGGTCTCGAACTTACAGAGATCCGCCTGCCTCTGAGTGCTGGGATTAAAGGCGTGCGCCACCAACGCCCGGCTTCTCGCTGATTTTTTTGAGCGAGAGTTTCATTGAGTCTTTAGCCTCACCAGTTGGCCAGGCTGCCTGACCAATGAACTCCAGGGAACTCCCCCTACTAAGTGCTAGAATTACAGGCAAGGCCACTCTGGAACATGAGTTCTGGGGATCTGACCTCAGATCTTTGTGCTGTGTTGGTGCCATTCCCAGCCCCCAGGGCTTCAGCTATTCCCTTAGGCCCTGCTCTCTGCTTCTATATGGATCTTCTGAGAACGCAGTTTCCTTTCTCAGCTCCAGTCCATCGATTATTTTTATCAGATACCTCCTGTATTCCAGGGAGTATGATAGGAGGAACCAAAGTAATCAAAGTAATCAAAGCATGTACTTGGGACATGAACATTTCCAAATAGTAGTATAACATGTCCAAGAATGCCTAGGCTTTACAGGCATCGGGAGCTAAGACAGGCTTTGCGGCTTGCTGGGCCCTACAGGGAGTCGCTGTTCCTGGGCAGGGCAGGGAGTGCAGCCGGAACAGCCTGAACAGAGGGCTGGAGGCTTGGGAATATTGGGAGTAGACAGTGGGGAGTTCGAGAGCCAGATTGCCACCATCTGGGTAGGGACGAAAGCTGGAGAGATAGGTAAGGGGATAGCTGGACCTTATCCTGGAGGCAGGGAAGACTGTGACCGGAAGAAGACAATCTGGTCTATATCTAAGGCATAGAGTAGGGACAGTGTGGTAGATGTTAGATAGAAAGAAAACTGAGACGAGAAATCTAGTTCAGTGCTGTTTAGGAGCCTCTGGCTATGGGATGCCAGTGATGGGAAGAGTTCCAGAAGCATCCTAGAGACACTCAGCAAGCTGTGGGGGGAGGAAGGCAGAAGGGGTGGGTGTGTGCAGTGCAGCGGAAGGGATGGTGCCAGTCACACTGAACTTGGTGGAGTCCAGTTTGAGTGATGCAGTCCAGGCATGGGCAGCACACGAGAGGGAGGACACTGACTTTCGGGACCTGAGCAGCTCGACCTTGTCATGCTCCTGCGCTCCTCCGGGAGGTCCTCGCTGAGCCCGTGGTCCTGGAGTCAGACAGCAGGTGTCCCCGGCTCCGGGCATCTCAGGATATCGTTCTCTTCACCTCTGTACCCCACACGGAGGCTTGAGCACTGCCCTGGAAGGGCACTCACTGTACGCAGGCCTTGGGAAGAGCAGAAAGCTTGCCAGTGCTGTGAAGACACCTTTGTGTGCTTTGTTTGTCTAAAGGGAGGAGGAGGGACTAGAAAGTGCCATATTTGTAAGAATGGATTTAAATTCCCACAAGCGTTTCTGTCCGTGCTTGTCCTGTACAGCAAACAACCCTGTCTCAGGTTTTCTGTTTTGAGAAACCTTGAGGTAAGTTATCTTATAATCTGATCAAGTACTTAGGAATTTATCAGTAAAATTTCTAGATGTGACACATACAGAATCTCTCTGGATGAATTACTCATTGTCTATCTACAGTTCACTCTAAACCTTTATGTTTTTAGGTGCTTTCATTCATAGTAGGGCTTTTCCATTGAGTTTGGGTTTTGATTCTGTTCTGTTCTATAACATGTGAGGAACAGGTGGAAAATCGTCCCAGAGTTCACAAGGAAATGCCTGCAGTGAGTGTAATTCAGTGATGGCAGCTGCTGAGTGGGTGTGCAGTCAAGTATTTAAATTGTGTTTTGAAGCAGAGGAGTTACAAAGTATTTGGAGAGTGCATGAGTAATTGGGTAGACTGATACAAAGTTGTTCTGTTAGGATTTGGATAGAAGGGTACCCAAAGGTTCCTGTGTTTGAACTCGAAAGTTCCTGCTGGTGATGCAGTTTTGAGTGCTTGTGGAACTTTTAGGAGATGGATGGGTCCTAGCTAGATGGAATGGGTCACTGGCAACAGGCCTTGGGTTAGGCCAGCCCTGCCTCCTGCTGTGATATGACCAGGTAGTCTCTCCTCTGCCATCATTCTTTCCTACATGATGGATAGGTCGCTTCCTTCAAATGGCCAGCCAAAGTAAATCCTCCCTCCTGTAACTTACAGTGACAAAAAACATACCCAATGCACGCATGGAAATAGAAGGGTCTGTGTTGTTCTGTAACACCAGGGAGTTTGCAGACTGTCGTACTAATTTCAAGCAAGGCTAGATGACTTCATTGCTTAGCTAGGAAGGGTGGGAGAGGCTAGGGAGTGACAGTTTAGTGACTGCATTCTGTCCCCTCAGGGTTCTATTCAGGGCCTGTTTAAAGTCACCAAAACTTATGCTGCCAGTTAGACATTTCTAATCTGAAAATGCAAACTCTAAAATGCTCCAAAATCCAAAAGTTTCTGAGCCTCACAGGATACCACAAGTGTAAAATTAACTATATATCCTTGTGAAACTTTGTTTTATGTACAAAATTACTTAAAATGTGCTATCTTCAGGCTATGTATATAAGGTATATATGAAACATGAATTTCATGTTTAGAATTGTGTTTCATCCCACAAAGAATTCATCACATGTATATGTAAATATTTGGAGCTTTTTTTTTTTTTTTTTTTTTTAAGATATAGTCTCACTATGTAGCCCTAGCTAACCTAGAACTCACTATCTAGACCAGGCTAAGCCACAAACTTAAGATTCACCTGCCTCTGCTTCTTGAGTGCTAGGACTAAATGTGTGTGCAACCATGCCAGGCCTGAAGCAAAATAGGAACAGTGACACAATGGAGCACTTCCTTCATCCCAGGACTCAGGAGGCTGAGGCAGGCAGAGGGCTGTGAGTTCAAGGCCAGCCT